TAGCATATTCATCAAGCTTTTAGAATAAGGAACAGTTTTCCCTTATGATGATTGACAATTAATGATACAGCTTTTCCAAACTGCGAATTAATTTCGCTTTTAAGAAATGATGCCAAGAAAATTCTTGATTATATATTTAATTAGATCATTTGGATGAAATAAATACATAGATCTTGTTGACACTGAAGATAGTTACTAGTGTAGTTGAAGTTTTTCGTTGTCAGAAAATGTTTTTAGGGCTTTTTTTTCAAAATTCCGGATATTTGATTAGGTGTTATATTAAATATTTTAAACTCTGCTTATCTTTTTTGAAATGATAGCTGAGTCGTAGTTTCTTGAATGCTGTTATTATTATTATTAATTTCACTCCCTTTTTTTATTAAATGTTGCTAAATTAATTAGTCTTACTTTTTTCTGCAGTTTACCGTCATTCAACGTCTTTTTAAATAATTCCTTTTTTTGTCTTAAATTTTTCGGAATTGCTTTCTGATGGGCGATATTCATAATATATCCTGTCTTCTCCTTCTCTATCAAAGGAAAGTTTATAATAATTATTTAATTATCGAAATCTCGGTCGATAGTTATAACTATCTGATCTTATTCGCTTAATAACAGTTTTAATTTTGATGCTGCCAGAAATTTATTTCTTCGTACATATTTTGTTCAAGTGTCCTTGTACTTTTATTTCATCATGTGATTTCTAGCTGGAATTTTTTAGATGTTTTAATTTTAGTGCTTGAAAAATTCATATTTTGCATTTTTTCCTTTCAGTTTCGACAGTATTTTAGGGTATGTCACATATTGCTGGTGCAGCGCGAGACCAGTTAGAGCACGAATTGCCTGCTGATTATGTGAAAGTTCCCACCTGGAAGGTTGGTTTTATTTGCTGTATAGAAACTTAATTGTCGATCAAATGTTATTTATTTATTTCAAATTAATCTTTTTAGTAAAACCACATATTATCATTTGTGGATGAAAACGTGATATAGTTTGAAGTGAGGCAAATTTCCACTCATCTATTAATTTTTCTGATGAACTATCCTCTGACAAAAATAGTAAATAATAAACTGAAATCACAGAACCTTGTTTGTGACGACCAATTCAATTTTAAATTTGAAAAAGTTTTTAAAAATCCTGAAAAAAGTGTAAATAGAATTTTTGATTTCTAGGACAAAATAGAGCAGCAAAAGCCACATATAGATTACAGCGAAGTATTTGATGAGGATGTTGGACAAGATGAGGGGATGTGGGTTTGGGAAATTGAAAATTTCTATCCTAGCATATTGGACGCATCGATGCATGGCCATTTTTATGACGCCGATTGCTACCTCATTCTACGCACTGCAAGAGTATAATTTGAATTTTATGATCATTGGTCAGTAAATATTAACTAGGGCAAATATAATTAAATTTTATCTAGTCAAAAAAGGTAAAATTAGATAAATAAGTTCAACATAATTGTAGACTGAAGAATTAATTTTTTCTTAAAGGAAGAATCTGGCGCTTTGAAGCATTCAATCTTTTATTGGATTGGAGAAAATTCATCGCTAGATAAAGGAATGTGCGCAGCTGTTCATGCCGTTAACTTACGAAACCATTTAGGCGCTACTTGTAGGTAGAAATTTTTTGAATTTCTAACCTTGGCTTGAGGGAATAATGAGGTCTCTAGAACAGAAAATTGGTGTAAAATTTGAAAGTTGATTAAATGAAAATCTCATAATGTTTTTTCGTTTTTCAGTTACACTAATTTAATCCTTTTTATTAAACAGCGGATTGTCTCGAAGACTATTTACAGAACTGAACGAGAAGAAATGAATGATGAATCTGATGACTTTTTGGAATTATTTGGAGAAGAAATTACCTATATTGAGGGAGCGCGAACAGCTTCTGGTTTTTATACTGTGGAAAAAACGGTGCATGTTACACGGTAGAGTATTTTTGACTCAGGAACAAAATATTTTATAGAAAAGTGAACTTTTTATACAGAAGGTCAGTAACAGTTTATTTCAGAGCTTATAATTTCGAATTTCAGTCTTTATCGTGCTTCTGTAGCGGGGAATACAATTGAAATGGAGCCAGTTCCAGTATCTCCAGATAGTTTAGACCCACGATATGTGTTCTTACTTGATGCTGGTGAGACGATTTGGATTTGGAGTGGACGAAAAGCAAGAGTAAGTTTTTTTTTTTGCGTCCATAATATACTGTTTATTGCTCAGCTCTAATTTTTCATCTTCATTTCTTACATTAACGATACCAATACTATTTACTCAATTTTTCTTTTTCGTAGTATTTCTGTAATGTATGTTCTGATTAAGCTAACGTGATTTTGATATGATGTCAGATTCCTCCAATTTTAACTCTTTTCCTAATCCTTTTGCATTTTTCTGCTATGCTGGCTTTTTAATTGTTTTCATGATTTATTTCCCCACTATAATACATTTTTTAAAGCTCTTTTGACATGGCACTGTTCAATGAATTAAAGGAGGCAAAATCAATGCAGTTCAGTTTTGAAGTAAAAAATAATTCCTATATTTTCAGATAACCATATCGAACAAAGTTCGTTTATTTGCTGTAAAAATGAATAAGAAAGATAGAAAAGGTAGATCAGAGATCGAGTCATGCGCAGAACAACGCACACCGGAAGCGTTTTGGATGGCTTTATATGGTTAGCGCTATATGAGTTTTTATAAATCTTTGCACTCCTAACAGTACTAGCACTGTAATTGCAAAAACTGTATATGGTATAGTTCTTGAAAATTTTCTTGGTTCTTGTTTTCAACATCAATTTTATTGAATTATTATCTTCTCCTTTTAGGGCAACCTAATAAACCGGAAGATCCAATAGTAGAACATGTGGATGCTGATTTTGTTCCTGAAAGGAAACGTTTGTATAAAGTGCAAATTGGTATGGGATTCTTAGAACTACCTCAAATAGAGCTTAAACATAGTATCCTGAAGCAGGTAAACATACATCTTAATTGAAAGAGAAAAATACAGAGCATAACTTTATTTTCAAATGAGGAATTTTATTTTTAAATTAAAAAAAAAGAATTTGAAGGATGTGCTAGACACGAAATGTGCGTATATTCTGGACTGTACATCGGATATATTTTTGTGGGTGGGTAGGAAAGCAAATCGATTAGTGAAAATGGCAGGACAGGTAATTTTCTTATCTGTTATTGCATTTTGCACTATTTTTGTAAACATTTAATTTATCTCTCATATTGTGATTTTTTTTGTTTTACCGAATATTTTGTTTTCTGCTTTGAACATATACTATCTTGCTTAATTGTTCTATTTTCTTGTTAGCTCGTTACATGTTACTTGTTAGCTCGCATTCAACATGGCTGTTATCTGGACATAGTTTACCCATTTAAATTGTACCATACTTTGTCAGAGATATTGATAACCATTAATAGGATACCATTTATAATTTTAAAAAATTGAAGAAAATGGTGGTAGAATTGCATGCAGTGTTGGAACGGCCAAATTACACAATAATTTCACGTGAAACAGAAGGCGAAGAATCGACGATGTTTAGGTTTCTTTTTTCGGTTTTCAAGATCATATACAGATTTTAGTTTACCGTATTTAAAAGTTCTATTTGAAAAACTGTATTTTATTGGCAGTAATATTTTCTTATAGATCAAAATTTCAAGGTTGGGATGATATCATACCATTTGATTTTACGAGAACTGCAGATAGCGTTCAAAGAAGAGGAGCGGATTTAAAAGTAAGCTTAACTATTGCTGATGGGACTTTTTGTTTTCTTGTCTGAATGCGCAATATTTGAATAGCAAAAAATATTTTTTGTCCTTTTAAGATCATTATGGAACGTGATAAGATAAAAACTGATTTGGCTCCACTATTCTTGCCAAGACAATCAGCCATGAGTGAAGAAGAAGCTAATCAAATGATGGAGGAATGTAATGAAGATCTTGAACTTCTTGAACCTTTTGTTCTAGTAAGTTATAAAGTTATTTAAAATATTTCTACAGCGAGTTTTACATTGATATTCAAAAATCCTGAAATAAAATATTCTTTTTGCGGTAAGAGATTAACGAAACATTAAAGTTTGATAAGATGGTGAAAATACCGTTCACATAGAATTTCTTTTCATTTTTTTTTTGTTTTCAAAAAATTTTAACTGTTTGAAGGAATGATATTTTACAGGAAGGAAAGAAGTTTGTCCGATTACCGCAGGAGGAATTGGGTACCTTTTACACTATGGATTGTTATGTATTTCTTTGTCGATACGAAGTGATATCGGAAGATGATGAAACAGATTTGGACGAAGAAGAAATAGAATTGAGTGATGAGAAAAATGATATTGTTGGTGACAGTAGTGATACAATACAAATATTTAAACGCAAGGTATTTCCGATATTGTTGGAATGAAATTTGGACCATAACCTGTTGGAGCAGCAATACAAGTTAAGCTCATAAAGCAAATTTTGAAACTAACTTGCGTGAAATGATATCTATTTCTTCTTATCCAGTCTTTCTTTTTGAAAATAAAAAATAACTTACTGTAAATTATGTAAGTTATGTGAAATAATCGCAATTAAATTAACACAGAATTAAGACAGATTTTTGTAAGTTCATAAGTTGTCTGATGTAACAGTATTAAAGAGCTCTATATGATTTTAACTTTAACTAAACATTGTAAATGCTCCGATAATCTAGGAACCAGAAGAAGTGCAAGAAGATTTCAAATGTGTGGTATATTTTTGGCAGGGGCGTGATGCAAATAATATGGGCTGGCTTCATTTTACATTCAGTTTACAGGTTCGCTATTAAGTATTCAATTTAAATTTTGTATCTGCTTAATGTTTTTGGAAAATCTTTGTTAACATTATTCTGTTAGAAAAATATAACTCAGTAAAAAAATAATTTTACACTTGTTTATGATATTTCCTTTTCAGAAAAAATTTGAAAGTCTTTTTAAAGATAAGCTGGAAGTTGTTCGCATGTATCAGCAGCAGGAGAATCATAAATTCCTTTCGCATTTCCATAAAAAATTTGTTATTCGACGCGGTCGACGAGGTTTGACGATGAATCTTGGAGGTTATCTGCTTCTTTTTGTTCTTAACTGTACTTACTACTAATCGTAAATATTTAATGAATTACATGGGATGGTTTTAATGCTTGCCAGTGAATGAACTTCTCATAGAAAGCTGATACCGACTATTTCCAGCGTAAAGTTCTGTTTGATTAAAAACAAGCTGTATGGAATTATCAGTAGGTTGTCGCCTAGTTTTTATAAGGAATGATTAAACTGAAATTGTAGTGCGAGTCATGAAATACAGTTTAGTATACATAGTTGAGAAATTTTCTCTGTGCATTTTTTTTGTACTTGCAGGTGAAAATATTGTTAAAACATTGACTATCTATTTAAAGAAATTGATCAGTGTCTCATGTTATAGGACATTGGCCGGAATTATTTTTAATGCGTGCTAACGGTTCTGCAATATGTACACGAACAATTCAAGTCGATTGTCGAGCGAATCAGCTCAATTCAGCTTTTTGTTGTATTCTTCGTGCTCCGTTCAAAACAGCTGATGAGAATGGAGTGGGGGGTAAAATATTCGTTTGGTACGGCAGTAAGAGTAATCCAAATCATCATGATCTTTGTTTACAGGTTATTCTATTAGTTTTGCATTTACTTGTTATTTAATTTTTTTCGTTTGCAATGTGGATTCGAAAAAAAGAAGCTGACGTTGACTTGAAATCATCAATGTTGAAAACGTTATGTGATAGATTGGCTTTTAACTTTGATTTGCAGGTAGCAAATGAGTTAATAAATCGGAACAATGAATTTCCGGTTGAAATTGTGAGGGAAAATGAAGAGCCGGAGAAATTTTGGGAGTGCCTTGGGGGTAAGAAAAAGTATGATACCAACGGTGACTTTTTAAATTTTACAAGGCTGTTCCGTTGTACAAACGAGAAAGGATATTTCGTGGTGTCTGAAAAAACTGTTGACTTCTGTCAGGTAAATATCTTGCTTCAATTATATAACATGCAGAGAAATAAGCGTTGCTTCCGAAATCATATCGTTGACATATTACATTGATTTTTCTAAACTGAATGGACATTTAATAGAACAAGATATGCTTTTGTATTGACATTAAATTTAAACAAAAAAGCGCTTGATATCAGGACGACCTGGATGACGATGACATCATGATTTTGGACAATGGAGATTTGGTCTTCTTATGGATGGGATATCACGCCAGCGAAGTAGAACTTAAACTGGCTTATAAAGCTGCTCAAGTATTCTTTCTGCTTCCTTTGTTTGCAAATACTGATCTGCTTAAATATTCGAAATACGATTAGCAGAACACAGAAATACAAAACGGAAATTGCAGGTTTACGTCGCACACATGAAAATCAAAGAGCCTGAAAGGCCGCGAAAATTGGTGCTAAGCTTGAAGGGTCGAGAATCCCGACGGTTTACAAAATGCTTTCACGCTTGGGGGAAGCATAAAATTCCAGCTGGAGACGAAGTTTGACTTCGAGAAGTTTGATTGTTGTGGTCAGGTTATATTATAGTCGGTCTCAGTGGATCCACGGTTCTTTTTTATTTGAGTTCACATACTTCATTAAATGCACAATGTATTTTTCTGGACATATATATACACCATAGGCATTTAACAGAAATACTATTTTAATTTCATAAGTCACTTCATCTTAGGCGCATAAATATAAGCTGCATCTGTGAATAATATGATGATCGTGTAGGCTTTATTGATTGTTGTTTTTTGTTCATTCTAAAGTGCCTTATAAATATTTCTCGTAAATGGCATAAGGACCACATTTGAGAAACAAGAAAAAAATTGAAATAAGAGCTGATTCTTATAAACATGTGTATAGAAAATGAAATGCATCGCTATACAAACTTTTTTTAGACAGTTTGCTTTTAATTTGTTTAAAATTAAGAAATGAAGATTGAGCAAAATAAGACAACATTTCAGTATTTGCAGTACTTTCTGCCATTCAAGATGAAGACGAACATTTGAGCAGTATTCTTCTATATCTTTTCGATTATCCATGTTATGGGACCATTTGTACAATTTCCTTATCCTCCCGAGTTGTTGCATACTTCCTTTTTCACACTTGATGTGGTGGTTTGCCTATGAAAGTTTAAAGTGCCGAGAGGCATGATCTCTTCTATTGGTGTTTCTTTCATTTCAGTAGAGATTTTTGTTGTAAATGCAGATAATAATAACAAATAATTGTAAGAAAATTAAGATACTTACGAAAGGATATAAAACTCCAATGGGAATTAGGAAAGCAAACTGATCATTTCAAATCACAAAATTGTCCAGTCGATTTGTCCTGGATACTGTTCGTCCATATCATAATACAATGCTGCACATTCATCTCGTTCGTCAGTTTGTTTACAGCTGTTAAACAATTTGGCGGCAATAAGAAGGACGATTTTTTCGAGAAGGGGTGCGGAAGCACGGCGAAATTCTCGACGCGCTGCAGCTAAAGTATTGAGTTGTTGCGAAATTGTATCTGAAACAAAATTTTCACATTGCAGTACAGTTTACAACAGTATAAATAATCTGAAATACTAGAATTCAAAGAAATCGAAGGACGTTACTCACACCATACACAGGTATGCGAGGAAATAATAGCTTAGAATTACAGAATGAGATTATCTTCCTGTAACTGACAACTACTTTAAATAACGTCGATAAAATAAAAAGTTTCAAAGATCTTAGTAACTCATGTCGCAAGATCTACTCCGATTCTGGTTTGCGCTTATTTTTATCAGTTGGAATTTGCTTTCAAAATTTCAGAAATCATCAAATTTGTTGAGCTACTAATAAAGTCAGTATGTTGCCGTAAGAGCGAGAATCAGATGGTCCTGTTTAATGCTGCAATTTACCTGGCGATGTTTCATTTTTTTGAGCATAAACTGTGAAAGTAGTCATATATAAATAAGCATTTTCCAAAGACTGACATCGAATTTTGAGAGTCCATTCACAATCTTCAATTTTTGTTAGTGCTTCATCAAGTCGTCCCTCCACTGCCTGGAAAGAAAGATAAATTACATAATACATTTCATAAATACAAAACCACTTTAATCACCACCTAAATCTTATAGCTTCAGTTTTCAATTTAGTCTCTTTTACAATTATTATTCAGACATTCGATTTAGACACATATCAAAAGAAATGAAATATGAAATAAGGTTTCTGAATCCTTCAAACCATATCGGCATCGATCTAAAAACAATTAAAATACTGAAATGAATGGACACAAGACTAAGCATGTCACTAAATTAGAGGTTTTAATTCTGAATTAGAAAAAAAAATATTAAAACATACATCTATGTAAGCAATCCGTCGCATAATAATCGCGTGAAATGTATCCAGGGAATGTTTATGTGCAAGATTCTTGCACTGCTCCAAAATCGATAGTGCTACATGCTCCAAATTATTTGAGGTATATAACATTGCCAATGTTATGTCACATCTGAAAAAAGTTTAGAATAATATTTGTGATCCGCTTTTAACGTAAAAACAATCCTTAAACAACCAGTTATTAGTTTCATTAACTCGGTTGCTAAAGTAAATTTTCAACAATGATCACCTTAGCCTTAGTCGCAAATCTTTTGAATTTTTCACTCTCTCGACATTTTCTCTCGCTATATTTATTGCTTCCCGCAAATCACCTTTGGAGTGAACCAAAACAGCTTTCCTGAAACGTCCGAATTCAGTGAAATTGAGAAGTATCATTCTAAAGAGCGAAATTAGAAATGCTTTCCCTTTAGTAAACCCAACTAAAAGATTCTTTTGTACTTTAAATTCCACAAGCTGAAACCTCAAGCCGGCTTCTGAAGGAGCTAATTGTTCCATTACTAGAAGCCATTGATCGGCAGCTATCCAGTCACCAAAGAAGAAAGCTCTATCATATTCGATTAATGATTCACATAATTTCCAATGAAAGGCACACTAAATTCAGAGAAATATTAATACAAATTATTAATTTCATGCGTTGCAATTTAGTTTCATCGGCCAGCAGATCCCAATTAACAACTGAAAATCTGTCACTCTGAATCTAACCAATATCATCCACAGATATAATCACTATTTTTAAAGCTTTGTATTTCATTTACCCATTTGAAAATTGTTTTTTTATACAAATTCATAACTGAAACAACTGTTTCTAATACAACTTTTCTAATGTTTAAAAAATGGTAAAACAACAACCATAAAATAACAACGTGAGATATGAAAAATTACCTGCCAGTTATTTTTCTCTGTGAACCGCGTCTTCAACCTCTTTATCAGCGTGCGTGCATCATCAAATTGTCCGTTTAGAGCATGAGCGTAAGCGATATTCACAGCAGCAATTACCTAAGCGCAGACAATTATTCATAAAAACGAAAAAATTGGAAGTAAGCTACAGAAGTTCAAATTTAACTTCATATTTTTAGTATGCGCAAAATGGACTGATTGACAGACTAATTTATAAACTGGAGCAAATTAATTTTAAAATAGATATAAAAATAGCCCAGCAAAAGAGGAAAGATGGTAAACAAGGAATAAAAAGTTTCGAACTAAATTGATAGCGATTAAGAAAGAATTCATACAAAATATTAAGCACATAAAAGCTCGTACGTGAGATTCAGTATCATATCGCTGACACCACTGATCACCCGGATTAAAATAAAGAATACGGTTGCAATCACTAATGGCAGAATCGACGAAGCCGTTTGCAAGTTTTATGGTGGCAGAAATTACACGAGCAGCTTCATTAACAAGTCGTGATTGAGATTCTCGATCAACACCATAATCAGCACCAGAACACATTTGTAGACCCTTTACCATACTGAAGTTTTGTATTCCACATAAATCAGAACATTTTAAGAGATATAAGAATATTGCAAAATAATTTTAGTATATTAGTACGTTCTAAAATAAATAACCCAACATTTTTTTTTGACAATTTCAATTCAACAATTTTTTCGTCCAGAGATAAGCAGAACAGTTTTCAATACATAACAGAAATATCAAAACACACTCCCACCTTTTTGGATCATTAGCTGATCTCGCTAGATTAATACAGTTCTGTAATGTAGAACAATCATTGAGTTGCTTAATAAAGGCTCGTGTATCAGCTTCTTCGGCTTTGATCTTATCATCTTCCTCTGTTGATTCTTGTATTTCACCATTACCAATCGACACTGATGAAAGCAATGCCGCCGAGATAAAATGGGCTATAAGCAGATTTTTTTTTGAATTTTCAAAATTTTTGCTGGTTTTAATTCCATTTTTCTACATTATTCAAATTTAAAAAAAGATTAAGGAACTGACTACTTTGCCAGCCACTGAAAAGGATAGAGTAAGATGTAAACATTACTTTTCGATTCATCAGTTGAATCATTTTCTCCGGATGGATTTAGATCTTCGTCTGCATTAATAGCAGCTTGCTCTACCTCAGCCAACCGTAAGCAGACTAAATCATGGCTCGTTTGTGCTTGATGTACCGCTTCAGAGAGAAAATGCCGAGCGTGATCCCTAATTGAAATTTTGAACAGTCAGAACAGTTAAATTACAATGAATTTAATGCTACCAATTGTTAAGATATGAGAAATATAAAAACCGGAAGAATCGTACAGATAAACTATGAAGACACTTCACTTCTCATGACTACGTATCACAGAATTAGAAAGTAAATTTTTTTTTACACTATAACACTCTATTAGTATTTATAAAACCAAAAAATATAAACGAAGATGTCTCGACCTCCTGACGAATAATAACATAAGTATATGTTGAAAACATGCCATATCAAAATGTTTAAAAATAACTCACTTATATCCAAAAACTCGAGCGAGTCGCGCGTGCAATAAAGGTGCGTAACGTAAGGGACGTTGATCGGTAGCAGTAATTGAACGGTTTATGTTACTAGTTTCATTGATGCGTATTGCCGTCCAATCAAAGAACTGTTGTAATGCTTCACCAGCTTCGAATATATTATGAGAACGTATTGCATTCATCATATCAACTAGATGCTGAACACGATAAGAGAATAAATTATCTCATCATAAAAAAGTGAGAGTGAAAAAATTCTAAGACACAGATAGAAATAAATAAGATTTTGAAAAACAATAACTATCCGTTACAAAATACTATGATTAAAAATGTGATGGCATGCATATGATTTTCGTATATTAATGATTACAGTGATCGACATATAATCACGACAGTTATGATGGAATGAAGTAGCCTATATCTTCATATTCCTATATATTCAGAATGAACATTTACTGAACTAATTATCAACGGTATTTTTTTTTCAAAAATTCTTTTTTTTTTCAAAAGTATATTCAAAAATTCAAAATCCCAAATTTTTGAATAATTAAAGGTGTACATATATTAACTAAACAAATAGCAAACTTTTTAATAATTTTAAATGATAAAAAAAGGGCACAAACTAACCACAAGTGGTAAATCAGGATAATTCTTCTTAATGAAATTGCATGCAGCTTTCAGTTGTTTTTCTTCCATTGCATCATCTGGTGAAACATGCAATGCATGTAACTGTCGACTGATAAGAGTTCGAGCTCTACTAGAAGAAAGTAGCTCGGTTAATTGCGGTTGTGCACCAGGATGTTGCTGCAATTCGTAGAGTGCTGTAGGTGACAATGGTATGTCAGCTTGGAAAAGAGTCTTCCTATGCTGCTTATCTTTGTCTCCAACATTGACTGCTTTTTTCTTTTTACTCGCCGGTGATATTGAGGCTTTCAAAAATTCCTCACTCATCCTTGTAGCCCTGAAAATGATGAATGGAAATGACAAATTAACGTCGCAAAAAAACATTGAAATGTTATTTCTTCACGAAATAAAACTAAATCTAAATTTATATTAATATCTCCAATTATGCTGCTACATATAAGGCATATTCGCGTTGTGATTATATCAAGAATGTCGAAGCTATCAGACGTCAAAACCATTCTACGTCAATCTAATAAATAATTTATCAGCATAATATGAATAAAATAAATTTACTTGTCTTTAATTGGTGTAACTCTCAAATGCGTTATGTCGTCTATAAGAGGAACCAGATGAGTATCACCTAAATATTTAATTCATATTTATAGGATCTAGAAATACGATATTAGTTACAATTTATTCACTAATAAGTATCGCTGTTTCTAATCTTCAGTACGCAAAAGCTTTTTATTGCCTGTTTGTCTGATTTAGCAACGTATTATAATAATTAATAACATCAATGAAAATGATATTGGCAAAGGAATATCAGATGAAATACATTGTATAAGCTAGACAAAAAAGTAAAGGTTTCAATTTGCAGATTCGGCAAATATGCAAAACATCAAACGCAACTATAATTGCACATGGTACCCGACGTAGATGATGCGGAAGTAGTTGACTCAGACACGTTTTTAGCATAGCCACCAAAAAGATCACCGCGAGCGGCGGGACGCGAATCATCCAACCATTCCAACCACTGCTTATGTGACCGTTGGATTTGCGTAACACTTTGACAAGCTTGTGTGACAGCCAACTTAACTGTTTGAAACATTTGTATAAATCCAACGTTTTCATCATTTATCTTTCATACACCGAAATTAAATCAAATTTCGATTATATCAATTCATGAAGGATTAAATTGTGAAAATTACGGAATAAAATCCAAACTAGGAATAAAAATTCAAACATGAACCTTGCGAACAAAAATACCGATAAGACTTTTAGGGAGAGCGAATGGTTGTCCCAAACGGTCTAACTTCCGAGGCTGACAAAATAATTCATCACGACGTATAAGTATTTCCACATCTCCACGATGGGCATCTATTCTACAAAAACTTTCGTCAATTAAAAATTAAAAGTTTAAAAAAAAAAGAAATTTTCAAAATAATAAAGACGCAAAAATTTCAATGCGCTTTATACTTGCAATTTTTTTATTCATCATAATCCTTTAATTTTTGAAAACGTCATTTTTATATTAACTGACTGATCATGGATTTCATTTAACTTTGCAAATGAGGCTGAATAAGTTCTAAATATACCTAGTTTTCCCATTAATAATAACGAACAAAAGAAAACTTACTTTGTCACAAATTCCAAAAATAAATTCATTGAAACTTCTTTCAACGGTTCCATTACCATATCAATCATTTCCGGGAAGCTTAAATTAACTGCATTTAAAAGTGAATGCACCAACGATGATAGTTTATAGTGTTCTTTGTGTGTAAACGGCTTCAATCGATGATTTGTATCCAAAACTCGTATAAGAAGATAGATAGCTAACTGAAATATGCAGAAAATTTCACTCGTTAGCATAATAGAAATTTCACTAAACTAAAAATGGGATTCCATCCTAACTGAGATTTTACAGTTATGATAATTTTTGGTCTATTCAATTGAAAATGAGAAAGAAAAGAAAACAAACTCGATACGGTGTTACCGGTTCACCAGGTGAATTGTCGAAAACAAAACTGAACGCTTCGTCCAAACTAAAGCTAGAATGAACCAAATCCTCCGCCATACCAGTTTATTTTCTAGATATTTCAAAAACTATATATATTTGGACATATGTTGTAGCCATACGAGTCATATATGAACTCTGACTTGTCCCAAAGTATGAAAACTCATTTGAACAACTGATTCACCGAATAACGCTCATACTCTTCATTATCTTCACAAGTTCTTGGAAAAAATTAAGCAGATCGCTTTCGAAAAGTTTAATCCATAGGTTCCTACACTAGTTTCAAACATGTCAATGAACAATTGATTAAAGAAGAAGTAAAAGGGAAATATAAGGAAATAAAAGGATAACATTTTTTAAGAGAAAATGCTTCTATCCACACTTTCAGGCAATTAATCTTAGGGATGCAAACCATAGTGGCATAATTCAAAATTGATACTTTTGAATTTATAACTTTGCACATTAATCCCACTACCATTATATTTATATTTCTCATTTATTTGATTTTTTTTTCATACAACGAATTCAACTATTCACAACAATAATAATAACAATAATCATAACAACAAAAACTAGTAATAAAAGCAAATAACACAGGACATTCCAATAATCTTTTGTGAGACTTCAACAAATGCTTAAAACACAAACAATTCTAAAGTTGAACATTCATGAAAGAAAAAAAAGCTCATCTTGAAGCAGCTGGTTAAATTACTGAGAGAAGCACCACATTTTGGCACAATTTTGCTGAAAATTTTGAGCTAAATACATTCTCATCTTTCTCCACCCAGGAAATAGTATTTTTTGATAGCAATTATTTAGGAAATGATAAAGTGATACATCATTAAGAAACATTTATATAGTAGTCTAATTAATTCAGCTATATTGTGCGGTTGTCGATATTCTCTCTTCGTGTAAATGCGAATAATGGTTAAGCTGAATTCAAACTACAATACAAAACAATTTGCTTATTAATGAAATATATTAATACAATACAAATGATTAAAAGGCACTTTAGAAAGATTAAAATAACGCACAAAAAAAGTGAAATATGAAATTGAAGAAAAAATTCAAAATTTTAATAAACTATAAAAATTCAAAGATTATGTAAGCGGGAAAATGAGCAAATCAAAAGAACAATACAATGATAACAAGGAACTTGTAAAGTAATGTGATGCTTAAAATTATTTTTAATAACCAATCACGTACCGAATTTTCGATCGATCTTCAATTGTGTGAATTATTATTCCGATGGGATAAAAGGGTAAAAAGATGGGATAAAGCGTTATATAATCAAAGTGAAAACGTATTTGAGCCAAATAGTATCCGGAAGAAAACTTTGAAATAATATAGAGCTATAGAAATACATTCCGAAACATAAAGCCTATCTAGCTAACAAAAACATCAGACTAAAAGTCTGAATAAATTAGTAATCATCTGTAAAAGAATAACCTGCTATCACATATCAAAAAAAAACATAAAAGGTCTTTACACAAAGCAACTATATCAACTTAAAAATGACATGCAAATTGAAATTGCTAATTGAAATATAAAAATAAACAAGAATAATTCAGAAAAATGAACATTGCGAAATCTTCGTAGTTGATGCTCGCTGTTATTTTAAATCTTTCTCGCTGCCGTAAAAGTTGAAACAGATGTCGAGAAATAAGCAGGAAGAGCCATAATGACAGTGAATGAACAATGAACGATCTTCATTCCACAGTTTAATTCGGAAATGCTACATTACTCGGCATTTATTCTTCATTTTCTTATTCTTTCTGCTACCGCCATAAGAAACTGTGCCGTGATTCTGACAGAAAATATCACTTCAATCAGAGAGTAACCATTTAATTTAAATGTTTTTAAAAATATTCTTTGCCTACTAAGATATTCTCGTAAATATTAGCAATACATAGTTACAAATGTGCTTTCCGTCATAGTTGCTCTTGAAATTTTAAATATTCGCGATAAAAATCATTACCTAAAGTAGTCCTACATAAAAACTGTTAAAAACATACAAAACCTATTGTTGGATGAGTTATAAAATAAATCATACATATTCCGGGAAATGTAAGGGGCTAAATTAAATCATGCAGCATTAGCTGAGGTACGATAATAGTTTAAATTAGAAAACCAGTATAAGGAACACATTTCCTACTATCATCAAGGATAAATGAATAAAATCTTCATTCAAAATAGAATATGAACAATTATAACCAACTGAGTTTTGCAGACGTACGGGGAGATAAGACTCTATAGAGTTACCACTTTCTAAATCATAATCTTTCAGTGATTAGATTTGACATCAAATACTGAATCAGTAAAGAAACATAATATGTGGCAAAAAACTACAAGTTTTAAAGAACGCGCTTTTATGCAGTCCAAAATAAATAAAACATTTTTTTGTGGAATAAGAACGAACTATAGATGGACTTACTATATCATTATCTTCATCATTTGGAAAACTTTTGACAATACGAACCAATTCATGAAATGCTGCATCCACATTCACTGGTGGATCTTTCGCTGATGTTTCAATATATGGAACTTTGAGCCGATCGGCTAGTTCCCGTCCTTGTTGTTCCGTTACTTTTCGCTGACTTACCAAATCAATCTAGAAATTACAATAATAAGTCCAACAGTGCGGTAAAAAAAAAAGAGTTGGAAAGAAAAAAAGGCATAAAATTATTAGGAATGAACATAAAATCACAAAACATTCAAGGAAGGCTATCAACATCATTTACATATGTTACGGCGATGGAAAAGCAATTACTAAAATAGTTCATGAGAAAAGTTTCATCATTATAATTTACCTTATTTGCCACCAACAATACCGGATATTCTGTTTTATCCTTAACTCGTAATACCTGATCAAAAAGTTTCGGTGCTTCTTCAAAACTACGAACATCAGTTACTGAATATACCAGTAGAAACCCTCGGCCATTACGCATATACTGTTCACGCATAGCGGAAAACTCCTCCTGTCCAGCAGTATCCAATACTGAAAATTCTCCATTATTACAATCACAATATGACAATGATACCCCGAGTTTTTAGGTTGATTAAAACGAAAAAACAATCGATACTGAACTTGCATAAACTTGGTAAATTAACATAAATATCTACTGCAATAGTAGTTTTCAAACCATTATTGTTGAAATTAAAGTTAAAATTTATCAAGAAGAATTCCTTTTCCATTTTTCTGCTTCACTCCAGTTAGAACAAAGGCTGAATTGCCAATGCATAATGACCGCATTTTATTGATCTACGCAGAAATACAAAAGAGCTGTATGACAATTTTCGAAATAATTTTCAAAAAGAAAAAATGTATCATAAAAATTTGCACAAATGTATATACCTACCATCCATGATAACCCACTGACCGTCAACTTCGGCATGGATAATATATTGATCTTCTATTGTTGGATCATAATAATCAACGAAATGTTTCTAAAAACCAAACTTATATATTTTATCTGGCATACTCATTGTACAGCTTTCTAATGCTATTTCTGCATTCTGAATATTTCTCAATTCATAAGTTTACTGACAGAAAGTTATTATTATTTGATTAGGCAAAAAAATTCCCAACATAAAAATGAAAATTACAAAATAACAAACTTGGAAAAATTGTATCGTTAAAGAAGATTTGCCTACACCACCTTCACCAATAACTACTAATTTATAGGTTGGTAATTTCGAATCATCGTCTGGCGGCCTTTTCGAAGTAGCCATCCTAAGAAATGTTACCCTGAAAAATCGAAACTATCAGATTTAAACTAATTTAAAATTCCCTGACAAACAAAGACAGTACTGATGATCCACTGGATGCCTTCATACTTTCGCAGTTATAATTTTTACTGTTACCGTAGAAATCTAAAACATCACTTACTAATAAAGGAAACACTATTAGAACTTCTCCTACTTTTCGAACAAAACAAAAAGCAAAATAAAATTTTTATAGTTTGTACTTGAAGTAAATTTTGACCATTTAATTTTCTAGAAGTTAAAATGTAGAGCATAACAATAGTTCCAACCATTTTTAAGAATTACAGCAAAATGATGCTAAAAATCATGTAATAACGAATATCATTTTCAATAATTACTTCAACATTCTATCAACTCTGATTTCATCGCAATTACGTATCCCAATAACTCCGATTTCACCTTAATTCTAATTAAACTCACAAATTAAATTTGAATTGGAAATTCCAATTTTAGATTTTATGATTTTCTACAAAAAAGAAAAAAGACTAATGAATTGTAGTTAAAATCCTGTACAGTTCTATCATATCTGTTTACCTGATTAATTTACTATTTGTTGCCATAAACGCAATGTAATTTAAATCATTAAAAAACGATTCCCCAATCAATTAAATGTGAGATGCACTATTTCATGCGGCCATAATGCATACAGCTTATTGAATCAGATATGAACAGAAGCCTGACAGAGATGGGATCGAATTGACGTAATACGAATTAATAGTATTTCAGACTATTTAAGAGCTACCTCTTTTTTTCTTATCACATAGCGTATTTCTTCCTTTCGCTTACGTGAATAATGAATGCAATAATAAGTGTAAGTGAAGAATATGTACAAAATGGTCGTGTAAAATGAAGTAAAATAAGCTATATGTAATTAATAGGTGTAAGCAAACTATGAAAGAAAATTAAGATTTAAATTATAGTAAATGAGAGATATTTGACTGGTAATAGGTGAGGTAATTAATCAATTCATACATAAATGCTAAATATTAAAATATCAACTAAAAATTATCCGATAAATGGATAAAAAATGAGAAGTTTAAAATATAAATAAAAAAGTCGGAAATATCGTAAAAATGAAATTTAAAAAATTGATGAAATTAAAAAAAATTAAAACGGAAATAAACAAGCAATAAAATAAAAAATTAATGGAATGAAAATAATTTTAGATTACAAGTCAAAAATAATTGGTCATTCTTGGCTGTGATTTTTTTAATTTTTTCTCCGAACAATTTCTTTTACTTCGCATGAGAGTGCTAAATACATAGTAATATTATTAAAATTTAATTGCGAACAGATTATTTCATATTTTTCTTAGCTTCAATAAATTCAATGAAAATCTAATTAATTAATTACTTGATTAAATATATAAATATTGAAAGTTATCATGGGATGATTAAATAATAGCAAGAAAATGAAGTGTAACATTCGGGGTATTGCTCGTTTAGATGGTTCAAAACGATGTAATTATTTGATTAGGTTATCTTAAAATTGGATAGAAGAAAAGAGAGAAGGAGTGGGAAGGAAGGAGAGAGAAAGAGAAAAAAGAGGACGATAAAAAAGGAAATATTATCAAAAAGAGAATAAATTTGACAAATGATTTGAAAAGTTTGTGAGAAGTCTCCGCTCCGTTGCCGTTATTCATGCTGTTAGTGCGGAAAAATCCAAAAAAAAGAAGAGAAAAAAGAATAAGAAGACAGGGAAAACATTGCCACCCTTGTGTGTCACGGGAAATGACTGTCACCCTTGTGCATCACGGGAAAAGAATTTTTTATTACATCATTGGATCGGCTGTTGCCTCTTGCAACAACTGTGTATTACAAAAAAGTAGTAATTAAAAATCAATATGAATCATTTTTGAAATTACCGATAATACATACTGAACGATAAATAGCAATAAGATGAAAGTTGCATATTTCTAAATAATATTTAATGTATTTTCAACTCATACTTCATTTTATGTTTCAATTTTTAAATTCCACATTTTCTTCCTTGTGCTGTGGAAAGTATAACTTTAAGATTTGATCTAAAAGAGCATAACAAATAAAATCAAAATAATATTTTAATAATTTAATGTTGCGAAATCTCAAGAATATTATAAAAGTAGGCGAAATCTCAAGAATATTATAAATGGTCAAGTGTTTATAGATATATATATATATTCATAGATATATAATATTACTGTCTTAATGCACGTTCATAGCTCAATTATGTGCCCGTTTAAACCAATAGTACGGTCAAATGATTCATTTTGCATATTCGTTCCCATCCTTGTCTTCAATTATTGTACTACATGATCTCCCTTGCCCTTATATTCTCCAATATCTCTTCTTATTTTCCCGCGCTATAATACACACGTACTTTGCCTATATAAGACATCAAATCCTCATTCATTCATTCATTCATTCCTTTTTCTTCCTTTGGGGTTATGGGTTTTTGTTATTGCTATGGTTTAATTACCCAAGTTTGAGTGAATTTCACTCGCAATGAAGTACAATTCAACGCGTGTCTTCACATCGTTCTTCTGCTTCAACCAACCACATTGGAATAGGACTCAATTCTTATAAAGAATCACAGTAAATGTCCATCTATTAATATTTTGCAAGATAGAGAAAGAATGTTTTTTTCTTTTCGTTTTAAATTAAATATTTTAAAGATTTGAATGAAAAATTTTTTGTTAAGAAAAAAATTGCACACTTGCAAATAATAATTGACAGAGTACTTAATTTTTAAAACGAAAAGAAAAAAAAATGTTGTTTTAATTTTCTTTCCAGTAAGTTAAGTCGTTATGATAAAACTTCAATTTAAATAAAAAATTATATACCGATGCTAATACAGTTCACTTGCAAATTTTTATAAAATTTTTAACCTTCAATTATTGAAAGGACAAAAATAAAGCAAAATTCGACCATTATTATTCTTATCTTTTATTCTTAACTCTTATGCTAATGCTTTGCAAACTTCATTATTTGTTACTAAATTTAATTTTTTTGGATTTTTCCTAAAATTGCTATTATTTAATAAATTAAATGTATAACAATTCACAAATATACATTACTTATCAATGCAGCAACTATATGTGGTATTTGCATTTCCTCAAATCTTGTCACAACTTCTATGGCCGACATGCATAATTAAAATGACCATTAAAAATTGTGGTACATAATTTGTTCTTATTTTTGAATTTTTTCACCAATTTCGATAAAAATTTTTTTCTCGAAATAAAGATTTTTTTCATTTATTTCCTGTTTATATGATCATTGGCACAATTGCAAACAAATTTTGCGTTGATTTGGTAACGATTTCTTTGTCATTTCATTCTTTATTTTTACAAATCCAATTATGCTTCAAAAAGTTAATTTTAAATTATAACCTTTTGATAAAATAAAAATATGTTGTGAAGTTAAATTGCTTGTCCTTACTGCTTAAACAAAGTGAAATAAAAAACAAATTACTTCATTTTTTTTTGGAATGAAATGAAAAATGTAAGATATGGTGAACGCGTTATTGCAAGACAAAGAATATTTAGCATTTAAATTGCTTGATGATTGAGGAATTATTACGAAATTGCACCATATTTATTGCAGTTTAACATTCGTAAAATCAATGAAAAATCAAAAATTGAATATTATGGTGAGTCGTTTTTTGTAAGTTAAAGTACCAAAAAATTTTTCTTTTGAAAACTTTTTTTAATGGCAAAATGCTTCATTTTCTCTGTTAAAAATCTTGAATTTGACATAAAATTCAGGAAGGAAGAAAAAGAAAAAGAAAGAAAGAGAGAAAGTGCTGTTAATTTAAAAATACAAAAATCTTGCATTTCAATGAAATGCATGTATATATATAAACCAAATTAAGGAGTGCTTGAAATTTGCATATGCTCATGTACTTGCAGAAGTTTGCTATGCTTCCAGAATTTAGCACCATTTGACGATCCGGTTGATTCCAAACTGCTTTCGACTGTACCATTTAGAATTACTGCTCATTCTGAACGATATTTCTGCGATATTTTCATTGAAAACTTTTACATTTAATTTTTAAAGCAATACCTATTTCTGTCATAAAATTCTATTACATACAATTTATATGGGAAAACTGATAAAAGTATGTAAAATTTTTTACTTTTTACTAGAATACTTCAATTTCTTTTTCTTTTTTATTTAAAGCGAAACATTCTTTTACATATTTATATGTACGCAGGTGTATATACGCGTGTGAAGTAAAATGGTTGAATAATTTCACGTCTTATTATATTATCCATTTATAATGTTTCTATATTTATTTATATATTAGCGATGAAAATTTATATGTACGTGTATATATGAAGTATTATCGCTGAGTAATTTTACGCGTATTGCTGTCAAACAAATAATTTTATTATATAAATGTCAAAGCATTTAGTTAAATGATAAAAAATGAGTGATAATTTAAAACATTTTATTATGACTGAATTAATTTCAAATAATTTATGGGAATGAAATCTCAGAATGAATAAAACTTAATTCTTTACAGATATGGTTATGTATTTTGAGTATAGCAATGGTAGGATTTTCATTAGCTATGATAGCATTTGAATGTATCGTTAATGAAATGGCACAGTGCTCAGAGTTACATCCTTTTCTAATTTCAACAATTTGCATTAATGGATTTATACTTTTCCTTGCTGGCATTACTGAAAAATCAAGCCTTATTTGGATTAATATTATTGTTGTTGTAAGTTTACTTAACAAACAATTCTTTATTTCTTTTTTTATTACCTACATTGAAATATTTAATTTTCAAGAAATACAATTTAAACATTGATAACCATTTTACAAATTATTATTTATTTGTGTCTTATTTTTCTCATTTTTAAAACTCGTTACATTTCCAAAATGGTAAAATGTAACATATGTTTGACATGATAATTAAAGTAATTTAACTGGAAGTAAATATTTAAAATGTTATATAATAGATACTAAATTGCATTTTGA